TCCCCTCATCAAGGTCATTTATGAAAAGATTAATATTGACCATTATTAATTAGTTGATTTCTAATAGGCATCGTAACTAAGAGGGTTTGGGCAGAGATACAAAGAACAGAGAAGAAGCCCTAATGCCAAGGGAGAGGTTTGTTGCCATGGAGGAAGGTGGTGTGATATTTCTGGTAGCTGACAGACATAGAAGCAGGATGGGACCATCCTGATGGTTCTGAGCTCTGCTGTCATGTATTTTAAGTGACATAGCAGGCTGTTTCCAGTTTAAGCTGGTTTGAAGCTCTTTTGTAAGAGGAACTCAAAAAAGAAAGAAGTGTCTGACCAGGATGGAAATAAAAACTGGGATGGATCCGAGTTTTCAGATCTAATGCTGTTGACTCTGTCTAATTGTACCACTTAAGAATGCAAGAGGAAGGCAAATCAATATGTTGGTTTCTATGTGTTTCCTTTCCATACTACCTTCTTTTCAAAAAACCCACTGCAAAGCAGCAGAACCTGGCGTTGCAGTGGATTTCAGGGCGTGAACGGTGCACGACCGTGCAATAGAGGGCACTCCTCCCCTTACAAGAGTCCTGTGAGCCAGCCTCACCTGTTTCCAGACCATGCTTCTGGGAAACCTCCTATGTGCCAGCAGCAAAACCACACAGAAAGCGCCTATCTCCAGGACAGCAGGAGTTGTCTTGAGACACACTGACTCCTGTTGATAGACCTACTAAGGGTACACCTAAATTACAGAGAAAACATCTTAGCTGTTCTCTTCAATCACAGATGCTCTTTCTTACCAAGTCACTTCTTAAAACAAAATTTTCTCACAGACTTTAAACCCTACTTGTTAAAGATGTCAAAACGAATCAAGAGGGGAACAATTTAGATGCAAGAAAACAGCTTAGGGAAGCTACTTGCTAATTTGGTGCTCTGTAATTTGCTGCTCCTCTTGGTTTCTCAGTTTACATTTAGCTGTTATCATTGTATCTGCAGAAGACCTGTATTTGCAAAGCACCCTGGAGCTCTGTCAGTCAAACAAATCAATGGCATTTTCAAAGACTGACATCTGAATTTTAGTTGATGACATTTTAAAGAGGATTAATCACAGTGTTAGCCAGCACCTCATTGACTTTCCAAATCAAGGACTCTCGTACATTGCTTCACACAGTGCATCCCCCAGAGGAAGGCAGCCTTTCTATTTGCTAAATTCTGGGCAAAAGATTAACAAAAGATAAACAGCGAGGAGACTACACAGATGGCAACACACGCAGTTTACAAACTCCTTGCTCTCACATAGTTATGTGGTAATTATTAGTGTGTAAGTCCCTACTGTTTACAGACAATCCAGTTACAGCCTGTCTTGAACTTTCCCAGACATTAAAAAACATCTGTCAGAACATTCATAAAATCTACATGATATTAAAGCAGTTTGCTTGCCAAAATTAATTCTTTCTGAAGTACAGCCATCACCAGCAAACTATTTTAACCCCTTTTTTTTCTAATTAACTCTGTAATTTTCACTGGCTTGTAAATACTTTGCATGGAATTCATTTAACGTAAATGTAACTGTCCAAAAATTAAGCACGTAGTCACCTCGACTCCTTCTGCAGTCAGTGGTGAGCAAGTGCTGCCAGAGGCTGATTCATCCCATCCAGAGATGTCCAGGATTCTCAGGACGAAGCAGCCCCTTGCAGTGCCCTGTGCTTGGCCCCCACTATAGCAGCATCACAGACCCCTAAGGGAGCCTCCTTTGACAAGTGACTTCTTGGAAAAACACTATTGGCACACACAGCTGCTGCCCTGAGCACTTGTTTTCACCCTGCCCTCTGTGCTGTGTTGGCACAAACGTGTGCGTGGCTGGGGAGGGATCTGGACTAAGAACTGGTGCTGCTAAAAATACCCTTCTTTTTTCCTCCCTTTTGCTGGAAGATGTTTCAGCTCATTTTCTGTTTTAAATAAAATTGTACAATGGCTACGAGATACCTTTTCATATGAGGAGAGCTACCAATATTTTGAATTTGTTCTTTGAATTCCTGTTATACTTCCTCTGCTGTTCCTCTTTCAAGAAAACAGCTAAGCAGATAGCTGACGTCTAGCACTTTTATTTCCACTCATCTCAGCTCTTTTTAGATCAATAATATTGTAGGAAAGGTCATGGTGACAGGCAGTGGGAAATGGCTAAGCTGGAGAGAAGGCAGAGGGGAAACAAGGTAACAGCCGTCCAGTCCATAAATCTGCTGCAAAGGAGGAAGGAATCATTTGTCCTCTGTGCCTATGGAGACTCAGACAAGAAGCCAGGGGCTCAACTTCAGCTGAGGAGAAAAAACTCTCTTATGGTAAAGATTGTTGTGCTGTGCTGGCACTGGCAGGAGAGTGTGGAGACTTCCTTACTGGAGGTCATTAAGAACACGTCAGGAGTGGCACAGTCTGAACCAGATGAATTTGCCTTTTGAGCTCTCTTCTAGTTGTGTCAGTTTAGGACTTTTGACTCCATAAACTTTAATAAACCTACATGGTGTGCACAAAGCTAACCAAGAGAAATGTGTCTGCTCTTCTGCTCTTTGCCGAATGTAACATACGTTATGAACTGCTCTTAGCATAGATTCATTCTAGTTTATTATTAAGTTTTCTTCCTAATGTTGCAGAGGGTTTATTTCGCCTTCCCAATGTAAAAGCAGGTCTCTCCTATTCCCTTCTAGACTGGCAACCAGGAAATCAAAGAAATCACAGAGACCCAGAAGGACATTAACTACCAAGGAAGTGGGAAAACGGTTACCTCCACATCTCTGAAAAGCAACAAACACAAGGAGCCGCTGAGGAAAACTGAAGACAAAAAAAGTGCCCAACATCTTTCCAGTAGTGCCATGAAACTCAGCGCTCTGTCTATAGAGCGTCTCAGAAAAATCCAGGCTGACACGTGAGTGAAAGCACAAATATGATGGCTATGGGGCATGCACAGAGCTGTAAAGCTCTCAGTCTGTCTCTTGAGAGCAAAAATACAGACTTCCCACTCTCCCACTGCTGGGGTACCTCACTCTTAGTGCAGAAGGAGAACCTCTAAAGAGAGCAGTGGGGTCTGGCTTCGTAGGCCATTCAGTTCTGACCTTTGCTTGCCTCTGGATGCCAAGTAATGAGAATCAGTTTATTTTGAATGGAGTTGCAAAACATTACCCAGTTGATAGTGGTTGCTTGGGTGGAATTCATGCCAGGAACGAGCTAGTGCTGATGTTCTGGTATCTGGAGTCAGGTTCCCCCAGCAGATGTGTACAGGCAAAGCGGGATCTGAGCATTAACTCCTGGACTCGGTTACTCTGCAGGGCACACAGAGCCTCTATGGCAGCTACAGCCATGCTCCTTTAGAGAGCAGATAATTTATATAAAGGCCAAAGAGTTTCTTTCTTTTAAAAATAAATTGTATTCCTGCACCGAATCAAGTGACTTGATTTGCAGAAATACCAGCAGCCTTTGGTTTAAGAGACAGAATGGGGAGCTGAGCATTCGTGCACTTTTCTGTATCCTGACTTCTGTTCTTTCATGTTATTTCAACAAAGGGTTTAAAGAAGATCCTAACACAAATGAGGAAAATGCAGCTAAAATATAAATACCATATGCACCATGAAATTCAACAAACTGAGCAGGCCCATGTATTTGTTAAGATCAGCTAGAGCTGTACTGGGATATTTTGGCAACCAGATATCCGTTCATAGACACACTTGTCTGCATCCTCATGTCTCACTGTCCAAGATCTATCTAGCTATCATCACTACCGGGATCTTACATTTCCTCACACTTTTAGCTGTAAACAAGAATGGAGAAAGATGCCAGACACTGTAGTACCAGCACCTTGCTGTGTTCCTTTTCTTCCTGGCAGGCAGTATGCAAGCGATGTAATTACAGTCACTATGAAACAGATGCAGGAATCAGGAACGTTTGATAGCCTAATAGAAGCCAATGAGAGAGAGAAGGCAAAAAAGAGCAATTTTCGTGACTTACTCAGCAGGTCAGTGATATTTTCAGTACTTTCTTGCTTAACTGCTCAAAGCCAGACCCCATTTACCCTCAGTACATGTTAACGGAAACAAACAAACAACAAAACAAGATACAGAAAGGATTCCACTTTTCCAACTTGGATTATTCTGTCTGCTTTACAGATTGTGCTTCTTTCCCTTTCAGAAAGAAATAACTGATGGTTCTGATGCTGACCTGAGCTAGGAATTGCCCGAGCTTGTACCACAGTGGACACCAGTGTCTGCATTATTGCAAATGCTGCTCAATATCAATTAAACCATAACGTGATGTAGGAGCTCCCTGATCTTTAACTCCTTGTCCCCAGTGAAAGCCAGAGCAGCGGAGAATCTGTTCAAACCAGGGCCAGCAACATATGGTCTCTAGGTTATGGGATGCCCAAGAGAATCTGCTCTGACCCATATGCTAATACGCTCCCTTTTCCCCAGTAGCAGCGAGGGGCTAGCACAGATGGTGACAGAGGCAGTTGTCTTATTTAAGGCTAATCCACCAGCCAGTGAATTACAGAGCCTCTTCTGTCCCAGATCTGATAGGGTACAGAATTGTTATAATCTCAACTCAAACTGGTGATTCCTTAGCTCAAACTTCTGTGCATTAGAGGTTTGGAGTTTTTTTTAGCATGGGAAGCTCTGGTTCAATCCCCAGCCTGTCAGAGAGAATAGCAGTCATCAGAGAAGTATTTGGCTATTTCAAAGCTACTTTGTTCTGTGGAGCAGCTCAGGCCCATCATTTAGGGCAGACAGCAAAGCTGCTGTTAAGTCATGATTTGTCACGAGTCCAACCTACTGGAACAGCCCCAGTGGTGGCTCAGGGGTCTGCCTCCAGTGCAAGTCCCCAGCTTCCAGTGAAATGTGAGATTTCAAGCATGAAACCCGACTCTTCCACTGCCTAAAACCAAAGGATTTATTGTTTATCCACAGAAGGGAGAGAAAGCAAAAATGAAAGCAGCAATTGCTTGTGGAATAACTATCCAGTACTGGAAAGTGGAAAGGAGCAGAGAGATTATTATCAGAAAGGACATGATCCTTTTTATTCCATTCTATCAACCATATCTAACCACTGTGTTGGCTGTTCTACTATACATTCTTTTCATGCAGTGAACTTGATCTGTCTTTCAATATAATATAATTATCTGGTTTCTGTGTCAATATACTAGTCTGAAAGCAGTCTGCAGTAAGATTAGAACTCGTTATTAGGAGCTTTAGTTTATCACAGACACCCAGCTAAGGATTCTGAAAATGAAATGCATGTTTGATTGTAAGACTGGGATAGGGTACGAAGTCTCTGGTACCAACTCTAGTATTTATTGGCTTTAAATCAAATCATAAGCATAAAAGCTTAGAAAAGCACTCTGAATGAAATAAGATAATGAGACCTAGAACACTACTGCCATCTGTTTTCTTTTAAACAGGTACACAGCGCTGTAGCTTTTGGCCTTCACTCATATTCCTTCATGGATGTTAGAATCCAAGGCAGTGTTTTTTGAAGGATTTTAAGTCTGATATGAAAAAAAACATATTCCATACACGTAATGAAGCCTACACAATTTGGCACTGTCTGCTCCATAGGCATGTTTCTGCACAGGCACAGGGAGATCTGTGACTGAAACCCAGAAACTGTCACTCAATGATGGGCTTCTTTGCTCTCTGATATAGGATTATATCTATCTATATAGATTATCTCTGCATTATCCTTAAGTCCACTCTAGGCTTTCAACAAGAGCATCCCCTGTGTTTTGGCTCATTTTCCCTTTCATTCCCATCCTCCTTGCCCAGTGTCTGCACCTCTTCTTTCAAGATTTACTTACCGAGTCACTAGCTTTGGTTAGGAGTCTCTGTTCCTGACTTGCAGCTGTGCCACCTCCCTGAGGCTCAGAGTGAAGAAATAAATTCCTTTTTTTTTGCTACTCAGCCATGAGAAGGGGCTTTTCTTGTGCTGTTCTGAAGAAGCAGACCAAGGTTTTGTGTGCACTTATTTTAGTTCAGCTGTTAGAAAGTCATTAATTGAGCAATATAAGTGGGGCAGTACTCAGGTGCTGCAATGTATCAGGAGATAGGATCTTCCCCTTCTAGGTGAACAGCTCTTGTCTTTTTTGATATATTCAAGTGATTGTATTTTCCCATTTTTCTTCAGGGTAGAGGAAGGAAAGGAGGAGATAAAGGCACTCCAGAAACAGCTGCAAGATGTCAAGAAAGAAACAGAAATAGAACTTCAGGTGAGATCACTTAACACTGGGCATCACTCCAGGGGGGAAAGCCTGGCAGCAAGCTCGTCTCTGCTGCCCTGGAAGTAGCACTCAGATGAGAGGATGTGTGGCACATAGAGTGATTCTTCATTTAGGAATATAGAAGCAGAATAATTGCAGTGAAGATTTGTATTCTGAAGATGCCCGTTAATGACTTTAAGAGCAGTGTCCAATGGTTTTCAAATGGGAGCTCAAAATGCTTATAATTGGGAGAGACCATGGACAAATCAGAATACCCCGAAAACACTGCTGGGAGTGGCAAAGCACAGACTTCTGCAGTCAGTAAGAAAAAGGTTATGTGCAGATAGCCATATATCTGTCATACTTACTTGTGCAGATGTGTCACCTGGCACAGAAGAAAGTGTAACAATGAGGGAGTGAGAAAGCAAGCAAGCTGGCAGGGGAGTATGGCATTATCCTCCCTACAATTTTGTCTGGGGAAAATGTCATTATTTTAATCTATTTTTCTAGGCTTCCAGATGTTAGAAAATCCCAAACATGGAAGTCCTACAGAAGGGCAGATCAATGTTACTGCACATATGCTGTCAACTTGATCTTTCCGGAAAGCTTCAGCCCTTCTGTCTGCAGCGTGCAAATGGTGTGTGCATGCCCAGTAAATCTGGGGTATTCTGGACGTGTCAGACTTGCTACACAAGTGCAGATCGATTGAATGACGTATCCCTGGTCACTCTGATGCTCACCAGACTGCTTAGACTTGATGCACCTGTGTGCTTTAGAGCAAAAGCACATACATTTCTATACAGAAATGTGGAAATGCAGCGTAGGCAGGGAAGAGTGTGTGATAAAAACCAAGCAAAAGGCAGGCATGTCCAGAGCTACACAAGGGCTGAAAGAAGGAACAAGAATCTGACACTTGGTTCAGTGCTGAGCATGAGCAGGACAGTAAGGGCATCTAAGGAAAGAATTGATGTTTATAGAAGATGAAGGATTGGTTTTGGCATGTGTAGTGAAAAGTTTAATAGTAAATACAGGACGGCTGTAAGAACACAAAGGATCTGTGGGTACTGGTAGGGTGTGCAGCTACCTATAACACCTGAGGTCCAGAGGAGATATTAGAACAGCAG